TTTTTCGCTGTTTTGACCGTTTTTTCACCCAATGGGTTCACCTAATGGTGAAAAAACGGCCAAAACCGCGAAAAATCGATAAAAAGGAAAGAAATAAGTCAAAAATTTTGCGAAAATATTTATTGTTGGGTTACGGTAGCACTCGTTTGCCGGCTGTGTTTTCGAAAATTCTCCTTGAAATACGGTGGCCTAACTTGTGTGAAAATTCGGCCCCCACNNCAAANTTTNNGCCCCACGAAGAAAAATATCGCAAATTCACACTCAAAATAAATTCAAAATCAGCAAAGTCCCAAGAAAGTGTTTTTTTTTCGTTTGTTGCATGCGGACTTTTTCGAGCTATTTTTTTAGCGTTTTTAAATTTTGTAGGGTAACAACTTTCTTTGTTCTGCTTCGCAGCGTTTTTTCATAAGATGCTTATTTAATTTTATGCTTTGTTCATTATTGTCGCACATCTGAAATATTACTTTCTTTCAAAACACAAGTTTCAGCCACTCGACATCGGAGATGCCCGCCTCACCACTACCAATGCCTCCTATCACAGCTCCGCCTGGTCCTATGCCACCACCGCCAATTCCACCAGCCCCAGGTCCAGTTTTGCCCATCACATCGGCTCACAAGACAGCTAATGATGCTTGCATCAAGAGATTGTCTCAAATCGGGGTAAGAATTTTTAGAGGAGACTATATCATAATTTAAAAATCGTTCAGATAATGGAGTCTCCAAAGATCTATCCTTCCACCCAACCGCCTGGCACATACGGAAAGGAGATCGTGGTTCAATCGAACGTGTTTGGCATCGATGTAGAGAACGAGATCGAACTTTTCCAATACAGTGTCTGATTCGAGCTGATGTAGCTTTGAATAAAGAAGTTGTTTTCACCAAGAAAGGAAAAGAAGAGTGAGCTTTTTTTGAAGTTTTACATCTGTAAAATTACTTACAGTTTTGTCGTGCTTGACAGGCATGAGAAGTGCTGCACGGTGCTATACTATGCTTCCGAAACTCACGATGATTTCTTTCAATCCGAGATGAATTGCCTGATCTATGATGGACAAAGCATGCTCTATTCTTCGATAGATCTATTCTCCAACCGATTGAATACAGAAAACAAATCAAGGACCTTCCAAATAGACGGAGTTGAGATCGGACACAAGGATTTTCAAAAATTGCCGTGCATCAAATTGGAAATCAGTGCCACTAAAAACCCTAGCGTCAAGTTCAATCGGAAGAACGTCGGCAAAAGATCAGCTGATCAAAACATGCTGGCAGTCAACACTGCTTACCGTAATATCCTGGAGCTTGCCCTCAACCAATCATGCGTTCAAGACTACCACCGATGTGCCGTTTTCGAACACGGAAAAATTTTCTTCATCAGACCAACTGAGGAGGGATTCCTTAGTCGTGATTGTGTTGATGTTGGTGATGGAAAACGGATGATGCCGGGAATCAAAAAGACTGTTCAGTTTGTTGAAGGACCGTGCGGACGTGGAGAATGTAATCCGGCAGTTGTGATCGATGGTTAGTTTTTAATCAGAAGAACGCGGCTTAAACATTTATTTTGTACAGGAATGAAAGTGGCTTTCCACAAAGAGCAACCCATCATCGAGAAGCTTCAAGAAGTCGTCACCTCTGACTTTAGTAAAGGGTTGAAAGAAGGGGAAAGAGAGCGATGTGTAGGTGTCATCAAGGGCCTCGATTGTTATTCCAACTATATTGGTCGTTTACGTCACCTCAAGATCGAAGGAATCCACCACGAGGGCGCTTCAAAGGCTCGCTTCCAATTGAAAGACGGTAATTCTTCGACTGTTGCGGAGTACTTCCAAAGCAGATGGAATATTACTCTCAAATATCCTGATGTCAATCTCATTTGCTGCAAGGAAAGAGGAATGTCAATTTCTACCCAATGGAGCTCATATACATCTCTCCAAACCAGCGTGTGAAAATATCGCAGCAGACCAGTGCACAAAGTCAACGAACAACGAAAGAAAGTGCTGTGCCGCCGGACGTTCGCCAACGAATCATTATGACAGGAAAAGCGGCTGCTAAGATCTCTGGAGATGCGGTTCTAAACAAGTTGGGTGTCCAGATCTGCGAAGCTCCGCTACTCGTCCGTGCTCGTCAGTTTCCTCCGGTCAAAATCGCCTTGAATCCAACCAGCTCTGCAATTCCGCAAAAAGAAAATAAATGGCGAATCGGGCAATACTCAAGACCAGCTGTTGCTCCAAAAATCTGGGCAATGTACGCGGTCGGAACACCTTCTAGCCGATTCTCACAGCCTCAACTAGCGTAAGAACTGCCAGTTTGTTATCAAATTGATAATTCTTGTTTCAGGAATTTCGCCAGAGAATTTGTGAAGGTAGCTCAACAGAAAGGCATTCAGCTGGATCCGCCAAAGGATTGTCAATGTGTTCTCGCAACAGAAATTGAATCACAATTAGCTGCAGCACATAAAGCCAGTTGCGAATTCGTCTTCATCATCACGGACGACGCAATCACTAATCTTCACCGTGAGTTGATCAATGGGGGTTTTTTACTCATTTGTTTCAGAGAAGTACAAGATGATTGAATCCTTGCAATCTATCGTGATTCAAGACATGAAAATGACGAAAGCATTAAGTGTGATTGACTCAGGAAAGAGACTTACTCTGGAGAATGTGATCAACAAGACCAATGTGAAGCTTGGCGGAAGTAACTACATTTTTACGGATACCAAGAAGTATGAATTTTTGTTTCTACTGTCGCTATTATTGTCATTATAGGTACCTTGACAGAGTGCTCGTCATCGGAATCGGCATATCTCAGCCACCACCTGTAACTAAATTCATTGTGGAAGGAAAAGGTTTCCTGAGCCCACAGATTATTAGTTTCTCGTATAATGGAAAACAAAAGCAAGAATTTGCTGGAGATTTTGTTTTATGCCCCGCTGGACAGGATGTAAATGGTTTTTCCGCTTCAAAACTGATTATTTCGTTACAGACTTTGTCTTCAATCGAAGACATCATGAAGGAATCCATCCTGGGATACAAGAAATGCCACGATGGCACCGATCCTGAAACCGTGATTGTGTACCGAAGCGGAGTCAGTGAGGGGAACCACGGCAATGTCATCGCCTACGAAATTCCACTGGCTCGTGCTGGTATAAATGAAGTCTCCAAATCGGTCAAATTGGTGTACATCGCTGTGTCGAAAGATCACACCTATCGTTTCTTCAGAAATGATTTGGTACGTTTGTGCAGTTTTTTGTGTGTGATGAATATGGTTTTTATAGGACACTATTGGCCAATTTTCCTCCTCAGGAACTCAAGTGTCCGCATCTTCGAGCAGAACATCACTGGTGAGCTGAATCCGAGTTGAGATAATTCGAAAAAAATCGTTTCGGTCGTCGCAATCACAACTCAAACCCTGCGACATCAACATTCCACCAGGGATTTCAATCGATCACATGGTTACAAACCCGGCTATCAAGCAGTTTTTCCTGAACTCGCACATCGCTCTGCAGGTATGCTCATTGAAAGTCCGGAAAAATGATAATGATTATTTTCTTTCAGGGATCGGCAAAAACTCCCCTCTACTCGATCCTAGCAGACGATACGCTAGCCAGTTTGGAGAGTTTGGAGGAGCTGACATACAACCTATGCCATCTCCATCAAATTGTCGGACTTCCCACCTCCATTCCAACGCCACTATACGTAGCCGCCGAGTATGCCAAACGAGGAAGAAATTTGTGGAATGAAGCCAAGTAAGATTTTCCAATTCTTCGAGCCGAAATATTATCAAAATTTAGCTTGAAAAACCCACTCATTCGTTCTGGCTCCGAGAGAGAACAGCTTCGAGCAGCGACCCACTCCATCAACTACAAGCATACAGGCGACTTCTCCGACCGTCGTGTGAATGCTTAATCATGTCTAATTTCATCTGTCTCATTATAATGCTTCCCATTCATCGTAGACTGTACTTTAGTCACCCATAGTAATTAAACAATCATTTACCCTGAGAAATGAAAGTTTAATAAAAGCTATTCTTTCGAATTTTTTGTTTGCAAAAAGCTATGCAGCCCAAAATTAAATCACCGCTGCACCAAACTGAGTAATCTCTTCCTTCGTTTGATTTCAATCATAACCACTGGCCAATCTAGCGATCGTATCCCCACACCAGGTGCATTTCCCGTATTTTATTCACGATTAACCCCGATTACTGTACTCTGACAAAAACCACTAGGCTCTGGGGAGAACTCGAACCAACGACGGTTGTTTCAAATTCATCACTGTTAACCATTACGCTAATCGGGAGTACGTTAGATGAACTTTCGATGGTTATTATATACTTCACGTTTTTAAAATTAAAAATTAACTTTTTCTTTTTTTTTCGGAATTTCTGATTGTAAATTTAAATGATTCTTGGGGTAGTTTTTGGAGTTTCCGAAACTGGAAAAACATTACCAAATGTTCAGAAAAAAGAAGAGGAAGTTGTTTTTTCAGAATAGGTATTTCACAGGTAATTTGTAAAAATATTCCGGAATCGGTTGAGAGACGCATGTTCTTTGAACATTCAAAAATGTTTGTATAAAATTGGGAATCGAAAACTTAGAAAACAAACTTCAAGTATTACCAGAAAAGGGATTTTTTGTATAGATATTCAGAGTTTTCTAGGGATTTTTTCCACATTTTGTAAATGTCTTTTCAAGCTCTAAGCATACTTTTTTAACATCTGAAGTAACTTCTAATTTGACTTTCAGATGACTTTGTTTTTAGGTATATTCAGGGTTCTAAGCTTACTTTTTAAGAACTTAGCCTACTTTTATTTCCGTAAAACATGTACTAGAAGAACCGGCTCTTCTATTGTTCCAAGGTATCTCCAGAGAGCCCTTTCATTACAGGGGCCTTTCTATTAGAGGGGGCCCTTCTATTTTTCTGGATAGTTTTTTTCGAAATTCTGAATCGAAAAGCTCAGCGAAGTTTCGTTCAAAATTCATGAAAATCTGCCAATTTCAGCAAAATTTAGCAAGATTTGCATCGAAAAATAGAATTTCCACAAGTTTTACGTAATATTTTTTCTAAGTCTGTTTTTTAAGTGTGTGCGCCGTAAGCCTGCTTTTTAAAGGCTAAGCCTACATTTTAGAAGCTGAAAATAATTTTTAATGGCTGATTTTACTTTTAGGGACCTTGTTTTTAGTACATCCCGATTTAAGTTGCTATTTTTTTTGTATTTAATACTGATTCGACTTTTGGGGTATTTGCTCTCTATCTTTTGAAGGGAATAAATTCACTATAATTCGCATCATGCGAATACTGTGGATCCACGTTTCTCATTTTTTATTGGCTCTACTTTTTGATTTTTTTTGTTGGGGGGGGGGGGGGGGGAGGTTTTCTTCACGTGTATTGTTCCTAGTTTTCTGTTTTCTGATTCTCAGGACAACAATATTATATTTTTCCGTGACATTTCAAAAAAAATGAGGGAGATAAAAAAAGGAACGTGGATCCACAGTAGTACGACTGAAGCAATTTAGTGTGGATTCGAATTTATTCCCATCAAAACTAGAAGAGGAATATGTCGAATTTCTCTCGGATAGCAACCCTTCCCTCTGAACTCTTGTTTGCCCTTAAAAGTACTTTCAGCTTTTAAAAAGTTGGCTTAGCACCCTAAATCAGCTGACATCTAGAAGCAGGGCTCCTTGTAAAAATACTCTCTAACCTTCATTTTTCAGACAGCAATAGTACATTAAAAAATAAGAAAACTTGAAATTGCAATTAAAATATTTTAACAAAGGCATGCTAAACAGTTAAAAACTACAGATTTTTCAAGAGAACACATTATTATAGGAAGAATCAAATAATTTTCAGAATGTTAAAAAATCAAAAAAAAAATTGAATGCCTATGAAGAAAACATAATGTTCCCTATTCCTATTGTCTATTCAAAATAATCGCGCGGATGAACGAGTAAAAAAACGTGTAGAGAGTATCAAAACCTGTAGAGGCGCTGTAGACACGCAGACATTTTCACTCGTTCACTCGCGCGATTATTTTGAATAGACAATAGCGACATTTTTGTGTTAAATTTTGAATTCGAATTCAGGTCATGCAAATTTTTTGAATTTGGCACCATTTTTCGAATCGCCAAATGAAAGGGAAGGCCTATAATTTTTTTTCAAAAAATGAAAAATTCCAGTCAAAAAAGTACCGAAATTAGCGAAAATCAGTAAGATTCTCACATTTTTCAGTGAAAATTTGTTTTCAATTTGTTTCGTTTTTTTTTGTTTACGATCATAGGTTTAGGCATAATCGCATTGTTAACCTTCCACCCGAATTTCGGCGCCAATTTCAGAAATTATCCCAATTCAGAAATAATCTTCGGTATTCTAAAATTTTCTGAAATGTTATAAATTTATAATATTCTTAAAATCAAAACAAAAATTTTTGGAACCAGAAACTCAAAAATCTTGATTCTAGTATACCGCATTTCCTCTAATAGAAGCCCATGGGCTTGTATTGGAGAAAATACGCTAATTCAAAATCCCACAATTTTCGGAACTGTGATTTTAGAACTCGACAATTTCTCAATTTCTGAATCTCAAACTTTTTGAATTTTAGATTTTTTTCTCGGAGTTCCAGAATTCCAGAATTCTGAATTTTGAGATCCTGGAATCTCAGAATTTCACAAATTAGGAATTTTGGAATTTAGAATTGCATAATGAAAATTTTAAATGATCCAAAACACTGAATTTCAGAATTCTTAACTCCCGAATTGTCAAATTTCGGATTTTTTAAAACAATTTATTTTGAAAATAAAAAATTGAAAAATAGAAACCATCTCCTCTAATTAAAGCCCATCTCTAATAGAAGCCCACCCTGAGAAAGAGGTTGAAAAAATAGAAGCCAATGAGCTTTTATTAGAGGAAACACGGTAAATTATTAACACTTTTCAGAAATTTACGCTCATTTAAATTTTGAAAAAGAAAATAATTTTCGAATTTTCACGTGAGAAAAATGAGAAGTGTTTTATTAGGTTGTTCGGAAAGTCCTTTCCATTTTTGATCTGTTGTTTTCAAACTTTGTTTTTTTTTTGAACGGGGTAAAAGCGAGGAAGCTGTCGTTTTATCAATATATTGTTGGGGTCTAATAGTGTCTGCACCCCAACGGAGATCATTCCCCCCCCCCCCCTTTTTTCGTGTAATGAGATATGCTCACCGTTGATCTTAAATTAGCTGAAATCGATCGCCAACTAGTAGCGGTTAACAACGCAAATGCACTCATTCGAACTACCATCACAACCTGGATTCAGTTATTTGAAAAACGGGAATTCTTGTTTGACAAAAATCCACCTTCAAAAAGGCAAATGGGCTTAGGTTTGGATGCATTAAAAGCCGGGAAAGAAAGGGACCCGCCTCAAACTGTGTGTGATATATGAAGTACATCAGTGGCAAGCCTTTCGTTAAAAAACCGTAGATTGAAAACTCTCGGCACAGTCAAAAAAGTGGGAAGAAGTTGACCCCATCTTTTGGCTCAACGCAACTTTTTTCCCCGGGTGGGCACCTGTTTGAATCTTCTCATCCTGCGTTGCACACATGAATTTTGGAATCAAACCATTGCTAGTGGTGATAAATGGGTAATGTGTGATTACAATAAGCGACAAGCCAAATGGGTTGACAAAAGCGCTGAACCACCAGACGTCTCGAAACGTCAAATTCGTGTTGGTGGTCTACTAAAGAATGGAGTATTAGGAGCTGCCTGATAATAGTGTCACTTTTACGATCCATACCTATTCTTTTCAGGTGACATAGCTCAGACTTTATGTGGATGTCCATTGGAGAGGAACGCAAAGGTTTATTTTGAAAATTAAAATTCGCAACCTCATGCGGGAAGGAAGACCCAGGCCGATCTCGGTGGATATGTCTAGACGATTCTGCTAGTGGTGATAAATGGGTAATGTGTGATTACAATAAGCGACAAGCCAAATGGGTTGACAAAGGCGCTCAACCACCAGACGTGCTCTAACCTTCGCTCAACCACCAGACGTGCTCTAACCATAGCTCTAACCTTCTACTTTCTGATTATTACCCATCCAGCCACTTCTAACGCCATCTTGATTGACGAAAATTTACTTCAAAACAACGTATCAAAAATGGGTTGACTTGATTCTGAACTCGCTGTGACCGGAGTTCTGGAAGGAAGGCATCCACAATTTAGTGGGGCATTGGCAGATAGTCATTGATAACGATGGTCATTACCTCCAATTTATCCGACATCGTTTTGACCTATTTTACTTTGAATGTATCTGACGCTAAAATTGGAAAGGACTTTCCGAACAACCTAATATATATCAAAAACAACATAAACTTTTGTCCATCGAATAGCGCACTGGTTTAAACGCCGGGGTGTGAAGCGGTTCGATCCTCGTTCGAGGCACCGGATTTTTGAAAGGGGCGAAAAAAAGCCGAAAATGCCCAAAAAGCCCTTTGCATCCTCATGTAGAAATACGAGCGCGCCTTCTGAAGCTGCTCAACTCAAGAGATGATGTGCGTCGACCAGTGCTGGTTGGTGATCCTAATCATATCTCAATATCCATTCTCGAAAGATGGTTCAGATCGGGAAGATTCCTGCCTTGGATACAGTCAGGGCCGACCTCTCAACGGACATTTCTTGTGGCAAACTTCCAGACCCCGATAGGTAAACCTAGGAGTCTCTGATTTTTATCTCATAACATGATTCAGCTTTTATGCCACGTGTCGCGATTTTGCCGAGTTGGATGAGGATGGAGGAACGAGTTTCGATGTTCGACCGCCTCGTGGTGCTTGTAGAGATGGAGTCGTCGTTTACCACAGAAGATCGGAGCTGGCTAGAGACGTCCAACTTGGCAGGTACGCTTTTTTTCCTACTGTCATTCGAGCCCCATAGAAAGTTTTCTAGAATCCTCGAGATCATCACTAGATTTTTCTGAATTCCTATACAACTTTTAGACATCCCTAGATTTTTTTAATTGAGAAACTTCCAGAATATTCTAGAAACTTCTATAAGCTTCCTCCATTTTTCAAGTAGGTCCTAGATTTTTCATCGAGCCCCGTCGGCTAAGGCCAACTGAGATCCCAAGTGGATTTCAGTCAGTCAATGGTTTAGCTTGTTCGATAGTGTAATGAAGATTGGAACTTGTCTTCTGAATTCTTCTGGAATCTTTAGAACCTTTAGAACCTTTAGAACCTTTAGAACCTTTAGAACCTTTAGAACCTTTAGAACCTTTAGAACCTTTAGAACCTTTAGAACCTTTAGAACCTTTAGAATCTTCCTAATCCTTTCAAATAGGTCCTAGATTTTCGAGTTTTTTGAAGAAATCAATTGACATTTTCTGGGTTTCTTGCACTTTCATCGAGCCCCGTCGGCTATGGCCGACTGAGATCCCAAGTGGATTTCAGTCGGTCAATGGTTTAGCTGGTTCGATAGTGTAATTGTATTGTATTGTATTTTATTTATTACGTTTAAAAAACGACGTAATGAAGATTGGAACTTGTCTTCCGAATTCTTCTGGAATCTTTAGAATCTTCCTCCCTTTTTCAAGTAGGTTCTAGGTTTTTCAAGATTTTCTAAGAATTCGTTTGACATCTCTTCGGTTGATATTTCAGTCAGTCAAAGGTTTAGTTCGATAGTGTATTGAAGACTGTAAAATGTCATAATTCTCTGAGGATCTTCACGAATCTTTCTCGCTTTTACAAATAGTTTCTAGATTTAATAAGATTTTTTAGAAGTCGTTTGACATTTTTTGGTTTCAGTCTTTGATCCCTTCTAATGCATTTCGTTTATTGTTCGAAGGCTCATCCCCTTTTTCTGTGGTCGCTATTCATAATTTTATGTTTCCCTCTACTTTGATTTCCAATCTTTTTTTTTTCATTTTCGACATGAAAAATTGTTATCATCAGAAAATAAAACTAACTTCAGTAATTTCACATGATTCCTATATTAACCCGATGAACAGTAGAAAATGCAGTTTCGAAGTTTACAGAAGGTATAACTCATGAGAGATTATGATTTGTTTTCACGAGGCAACTAGAAAGACGTCAAACATGCAAACGGTTGTTGATAACGGAGAAAAAACTTTTAATCAGAAAAAAGTTAATGATTTATGGTTGATTTGTTAGTTAAAACGAGGAAATTTTCATTTCTGTTAAAAATGTCATTCCGTTTTCCGGAAAGGTTCATAATATACTGTATCATTGTCTTGCCAGTTCATTCTCTCTGATTCGAAGAGGCAGTTCGTAATCATTGAAGTAGATGATACGGTACTGACAAAAACCAGCATAAGCTGTGAAGAAAACACATTTCAACCGAAAAATTCAGAGTTTTCAGAGTGAAAAAAAACAACATTTTTGCAGCTGTGCTTGAATTGGAATCTCCTCAACTGATACCATATGAATCGTTTGAATGTACCGTATACTCAGAAAAATGGGTAACTTTATTGACTGGTTGCTGACGATTGAATATTGAAGAGATCTTGATATAATGTTGAATAAACAGTCAAAGTAAAACATGTTATGCTATTGTAGTTTTAAAAAACATACTACAAGAAACTCAGATAATTTAAGCAAAATACGTAGTTCTCTCGACGATATCCGGATGAGTTGCCTTCTCTGACAATTGCACAAATGTACGGTATTTGCAATTGATTCCCAAATACAGTGCAGACACAATGATTCCGTTCAAAAGACTTTGAACGATTGAGACGACCTAAAAATTGAAATTATTTCAGTATTCGGCACATTTTTGAATCACCACAAGAGCTCGCAGTCGGATGAAATACCAGGCAGAGGCCAGCTGAAACTGAGCGGGAGTTGCAAATACGGCATATCTGAATATTCTATTTTGTTGTTTTTTCTCACAATCGAAGAAAGCCTAACTTTAAAACTCACCCAGAAATATCGTTTGCGTTTTGAGCGCAGATAAAACTGACATAGGATGAGAGAATACATGCGAAGCACATTATTGCAGCGTGCTAAAAATAATAATGAATGTTTTGTAAAAAAATATAAAATACTAACGAAGAATGAAAGAACCATTTGATTATCAACTGCAAACTTGTGAATTCGTTGTCCGGCTGAGAGGAAGATCAGGGAAGAAAAAGAAATCAGGAGGGATGCAGAGGATGATGGGAAGAGCCAGAATGCCAGACGAGGGTTGATGAGAACTTTCTGAAATTATCCATATTGTGAACTATCTTCCTTATTAATAAAACGCTAGAGGCGTCTGTCCGTCCTCGTGTCCGTCTGTGGACTTTTGAAAAAATTGAAAAATACATATATATTTACATGACCCTTTTATTTAGAAAAAGTGAGAAACGAAGCGACGAACATTTGAAAAAAAAACAGATTGAACCGCGCCTAAGGCGCACCAGCTTGGTGGTATTCAATATTGTTTATTTGATTTTCGAGTACACTTTTCTAGAGCCAAAAAGATAAGAAACAGCTATTCTAATCAGCTATTCTATTCCAAAATCTTTGAATTTATAAAAAACTGATGTTCAACTTTTTAGTGGCGGCGAAGCCAATTCGAAAAGGTTTGTAGCAGTTGAAGCTTTCCTTACTATTAGTTGTCTAAAGTACTTCTCCCTCTATTTTATTGATACTTACATGATCAGGAACTGTGTAATAAAGTTTGGAAACTACAATGAAGTCGAATATCGAAGATGTCAGACATAACCCGGCGATTGAGAAAATCTGCAATTTCGTCTCTCAAAAACACAACTCTATCAAAGAAAACTAACGACAAGAGCAATATTGCAGCAGAAGATCAGCATCGGTGTCTGCATTTTTTTAATCTGAAACATGGAATAGTTAATTAGTGTGCTAACTCATTATCTGGGGCACGGATCCCTATGGAAGGGAAATCTAGGAAATGGTGTGAATCGGGTATTGAGTTATGATACACAACCTATATGATTGGAAGCCGAGAAAAAATTATTTACGATGTGATATCAGAGCTTGCTATAAAACCAACAGATCAGAGAAAACTAGGTCTAAACCTCTAAATTGCCTACTGTTTTCCTCAATACACGGCGATCAATATTGGAAATCGTTCCGAAAGTTCAAAAGGAATTTCTTTGTTCGCGAACCGACATAGGTCCTTCCACGTCAATCCAAGCCAAAAATTCATTTAACATCAAAAACCTTGTTTTTAAATTCTGCAAAGATCTTACTATTTCCCTAGTAAGGTAATAAATGAACAAGAAAAATTCAGCCAAACAATTCGTAGAAGATATTCTCGATGCAACAAGCAGAAACCTGACAAAAATCAATGAGACCCTTGTTGAAAAGTTTGATAGTTTGATACGAATACGTTTGTGATATGCAAATGTTTACTTTTCCTTATCAAGTTTATTTGGGATGATTCACAAGAAAAGGAAGAACCCTGTGTAAGTTTATATTTCTGAATATAAACAAGATTTCGTTCTAATAAAATATCATCTCAATGTCACAAAACATGGCGGTGTATGTTCTACAAGACAGAAAAGTGGGGCTCAACACACTAGCTCCAAATTCCGTTAGTTGGAAAAAAGTCGAAAAAAGTCACCACGAGTCTCTGTTACCAGGAGACGAAAAATGCGAAGAGAAAGCTCAGCAGGCTTCTCGCTCTTTTTGGTGCTGATCTCTTGCTGTCTTTATTTATTTGGGCAGAAGAGAGAGGGTGAAGTGGAGAAAGTATGTTTCATGGGAATTGAAATTTATCAGAATAAAGGCAGCTGAAAATTCGCACAGAATAAAAGATGAACGGTTTATTACCACTCTTATAAGAGCACTCTTCACTTTTACTTAAAATGGACTCTGGTAAATTCTTCAGTTCTTATCAAACATTGCGTTGATACTCATATGAAATGGAAGTGGTGGGCAGAAAATGGCCACTTTTCTTCCGGCAGAACTGGATAAATAGAAAACATACAATGTTTTTGTTTTTTTTTGGAAATTTGAATAGAGAAGTTTCTGAATCTAGAATGACTTCCCGCCTTTTTTTTTCGTTTTCAGCTGTTTAGAAAAATCAGATAAAACAGCAGGCTGAAATAATGATATTTATGCTGGCAAAAATATAAAATTGTGGATTCTATGCTTTTTTTCAAAAACTCAGATGAAGCCAGATTTGTTTGTTTGAAAATTTATGAAAACATTCCAGAAGCAACATATTTGAGTATTTGACAGATTTTGAAAACAAAATCTGAAACCAATTTATCTCGGTTCCTGTCAAAGGAATCAAAAAGTGGTCCACTGTCAAATTGTTTATCATAACTTCAAAAATAATTTTTTCTGTTGACCGCTTTTTGATGTCTTTTACAGAAACCGAGATATTTGGGCTCACAGTGTATGGTCTTTGACTCGAGTATTTACGGTAGTTGGTTTTTGGTGGATGAGGGATAGATATTAATAGAAACAGTCGGCAGAGTATAATCAACATATTTATGCATAATTCCATAGAAAAAATAACCAAAAAGAAAACAAAAAAGAGCCGATTTAGTGGTTGAAGAAAATTTGGAGTTTGGTCTCTAGCTGGAATACTGTTTTCAGACAAACGAACGGAATCCGAACACCCATCGTTGTATTCTCAAATGACAGGAAAGTAAAAGGGATACAGAAGGATATCATAGTGCAAGAAACGGAAAAGACCAAAATAAAGGACTTGTCATAAGCGGTAGTGCATAGGTAAATAGTTAAATAACGGGCGTGACTTCTGTTACCTGACAAACAATGTTCCTTCTCTCCAACAGGCACCTGCTCTCTACGGGGAAAATGATGGTACCCCGCGTTGGGTGGCCCGCGAATGACACTGAATGCACTCGACAAACACGGTTCGGTTTGCGTAAATACTCAAAATATGGCATCTGGTAACTTGGAGATTGTTTATGGGTTTCATAGTTGAGCGTCTCGAACTAAAAACTGTACAACTGGTTGATCCTCAATATTCGAAAAATACTTTATTTATTGCGATCAAAGTCATGATTCACATATTATTATACCCATACTAAACAAAATGTTCACACATTATAAATATTAATGGTCCTTGGCAAGAAAAATTGATTCCTCATGCAGATATACGCATTCAGAAATGCTGCTCCAGGTATTCGATTTCCGTTTCCTCACCGCCATCTCCCCATTCGGAAATGAACAGATTGCTCACGTTATTGTACGTCTCTCTCCATGCCCAAAATGCAGAGAATATCCAGATAGAGAGGGTTAGAATATGGGTCATCTGGAAATGAGAGTTGTATATAATCACCATTGAATAATATTTTACCGATTGCATGGATACAGGATCTAGAGTTGTGACAAAGCTAGTGGAGATTGAGGCAAGGGAGAGAAGAATTCCGATTATGTTGAACACGGATTCCTGAAATTTGATTGGTTTTTTCTTTGAGCAAGTTTTATATTTGAAACAGTGTTTCAACAAATGTATTTTAAATAGTGCAATTCCCGGAATGTTTTACACTGAAAACGTACAGAATGTTTTTTAATTTAAAACACATTTTGAAAAGGGGGCCTTCTTTACAGGGGGCCTTTCTATTAGAGTGGCCGTTCTTTTAAAATGGCCTTTCTAATACAGGTTTCACGGTGTTTCCTTTTTGTGCGTTACAACAATAAATTCCAAAAACCGAAGTTTTTTACCACTTCTGTCCGTCTACAGTAAAAAATGTAATGAAAACAATATCCCAATTTTTTATAACTCACCACTTTGAGCCAGTAGAACTTTTGAACAATAAACCAAAGGGATATTGCCGCAACCCCAATCGCTAGAATATCATAAATTGCCAACAGAAAATTGCTACCGGAAGTCTTTTGTTTTACATCCCATCCGTATAGAGATAGTATAAGAAGTACCTGAAATTTCAAAATTGTCAAAAATCCCTACAACGAGGGCACTCACAATCACAGTTAATTTCGAAATGGAGAGAACATTAAACGGGTAAACTACAAAATATTTGTAGAATTTGTTATCTCCTGGCATCACATTCCAATCGTTTCTGTAGAAAAAAACGAAATTAGTTTTATGAAAAAACGGAGAAGCTTTGAAAAAAATGAAGGCAATAAATGTGGGAGAAGAGGCATATTTTTATAAAATGTCTTGAGCGAAGAAGATGAAGAAAGTGGTCAAATTAATTCAGACTACTTGTGTAATTGATTCCTTCCTTTCTTCGTTGTGTTTCTGTCTCACATTTTTTCATAATAATAAGTTTGAGAAAAGAGGAAATTGAAAAAAAAAATTGAGAATTCTTGATTATTTTCCATCTTGAGGCATGGTTACTCTTCTTCTGATCCAGTACGTCAGTTCCGATATCTTGAGTCAGAATATTGAAAAAAAATAGGGAGTAAGTTGAAAGTCATAAACCAGGAATTCAAATATTCCGGATTTCAGAGTTTCAAAAATTCCGTCACCTTGAAGTTCAAAAGTTTGGGAAATTGGGGCGCTTTGCGATACTCGGGAAAGGTGGAAATTCGGAAATCCTGGAATTGTGAAGTTCGAAAAATCAAAAATTTTTTGAATTTTAATGGATTCGAGATATTAGGAACTCAGGGATTTGTGAATTCCGTCATCCTTTTATCAGGAAATTCAAAATATTTTTGAATCAAGAAATATCGAGAATTCGGTAATGCTGAAATTTGGAAAGTCTGAAATTTAGATATTCAGAAATTTGTAAACTTCAGAAATTGGGGGATTCAACAATTCCAGAATTCAGAATTTCAAAATTTAGTGAATCAGAATTTAAAGCTTTGGGAAATTCGAACATTTGGAAATTCAAAAAACTTTCTGGAGAATCTGTCAGAGGTTTGGAAATTTTGAAACTAGAAACTCAAGTGTCCGATACAATAAACGCAAGCCAGGAAGTTGAGCCCCCGATATTGGCCATTAAATTTAAAAAAAAAACTTTAAAAAACCTTAATTCAGAAAATTTTCACTTTTCGCAAAAGTTAATTCGTAGGAATTCTTCAAAATAATCTCAAAATAAGAATGACGAAACCAATGTCGTCAATTGGAATGAGATAGGAACATAGATGTAGATCTTTCTCTCTTTTTGACGCCTTCTAGATTAAGTGACTCTCTGAGAAAATTGGCGGAAACGAATAGGAAATGGACCCTATTTCTTCGTTTTTTCATTCTACTATTTTCTACTGTGTTCTAAAGCTCTTCTCCACTTTCCAAAAAAATTGTATTTTTATGGTTCTGAGAGAAAAGGGAAAAAGAGAAAAAAACGAGGAGAAGTGCTCAACAATTTATCATTTGTGGCAGAAGATGCGACGCTTCTCGACCTCTTCTTCTCCTAACCAACGACTTTTTATTGCTCAAAAAAGGGAAAAGACGGATCGGTCGAGTGGGGAAAAGCACAGAAAAAGGAAGAAGAAAAAAAGAGAGGAACATTCGAAAACTTTCACCTCCGTTGTCTTTTTTGTTCTGAATTCTATTGTATTCTGACTATTTAAAACTACAAATGACGATGCGTGGGAGAGCCAAAAGAAGCAAAAATAGAAAAAATATAAATTTTCAAGTTTGTTGGAAACATCGAAATTATTACAATTCTCAAGTTTTACAAATCAAATTTTTTTGAAGATTTCTTTCTACTACCGGAAAATAGAAACCAACCAAACAACCTCAGACATGAAAACAATAATATACAGGGTTTACTACATTAATCAATATTAATGGTGCGGAATGAGATGTTATCTTGTTCATTGTCTTCTGACTGTCACTCTAGTGAGAGAAAAATAAGTAACCAATGGAGAAACTATTTTAAAAACTTTCAAAAAAAAAGAAGACCAGAGAGGTCCAATGGAGAAAAAGAAGAGGTGGTGGCACTCGAAATATTTCAGAAGCAGGTTGACAATTGAAGCTGTGAAGCGGAAGAGAAGAACGCCGAGTTTTATTGGTATGTGACTGCTTTTTAAAGAAAGAAAAAAAGAAGTTGGCGAAGAGAGGCGAATAAAAATGAAATAAAATTTGGTGGGGTAGTGTCCGAAACGAAGAGGGTTGAAATTCTATTTTTGAATGATGATGATGACAAGCTGAGAAGAGGGGTTTTAAGGGAAATTGAGTGAGACGATGCTAGAGAATACATCGGATGACAAGACCTACAATTTGAAGAAAAAAAATATATAGGAGAGACTACTCATTCCATAGTTACGATCATTTGAAATGACAGAAAAAAGAGCAATTTTCGAGTTTATAAGAGAGTTTAGGACATCCATAATTTTGAAGATGTTTGAACTCTTATATTTTGAGCAACGAGAATTACCTGAAATGTTTAAAAATGATGTGATTGACTACATTATGTGCAGGTATATTTATCAGTAATTTCCATAAATGAGAGAGAGAGAGCCGGGCCGGGTCACTTGTTTTAAAATTTAAAATCTCCTGCCCGTCCCGCTCGGCCCGTTTAGAATAATTTTTCTAAAATTTTGGCTTTTCACATTTGTCCAACATTTTACTATGGAAAAATGGGTAATCCAAAGACTTTGGATTATTGCGACCTTAATACAGTTTTTTTCGACAAAAATTTTCGAAATTTTCAAATAGCGGGTCGACATACATACGTTTATCTTCTGACCCGACCCACGGGCCAGCCATCTTTTCCACAAGTATGACAAATAGTTAATTAGGAAGCTCCAAATGATTTCTCCTCTGCTACCCTATGGAATTTTACCAGAATGAAAAAAAAACGAAAGAAATTTATTACCTTGTTACATGAACTGGATGGCAGCTACTGCATGAATATTACATGTGAAAATGGCAACAAAAAATTCAATTAGTCCTATTCGATATGAAAAAAAATTTTAGAAAAAGGAAATCATTTATTCTCATAATTTCTGAAAACGGAAGAAGTGGTTTAGAAAAATTCTGAATAAGTACTAGCAAGCTGCCAGAAATGGTTGGAAGAAAGAAGCAAAAGAAGAAGAAGAAGAGGGAGTGCGTACCTCAATTACTTTTGCTCAACATTCATCAGATGTGTGGTTGGAAGGAAACGAAAAAAAACGAAAGAAAACGAGAAGAGATTCACAGCTACACACGTGAGCAGCACAATTTTCAAGTACTCTTACGGACACACAGAGGAAGAATCACAGAAGAACTTCCGAGAAGAAACCAAATGGGACAATGAGAGAAGTATAAAAAGCAGCAGCAACAGCAAAAAATACAACTAGAATCAGACGACCCCCGGATGAAAGAAAGGGGGAAAAAAGTTCCAGAGAAAACAGAAAAAGGCGTCGTTTTTGTCGTCGTTGGAAGGCAGTGGAAGAAGAACACTTCGAGGAAAAAAAAACTAAAAAACAGAGACGATAGAAGCGAATAATATGACACGTTTTTGAAAAGTGGGAATTGGGTGAGAGAATTGAAAAAAATGGAAAATATTTGCAGAATTCTGTGTTAAATCCAGTTCTCTAATGGCTTAGAATGGATAGTTCTTCGTGTAAATAACATTTTTGTTCACCCCGAAAAATGTGTTGTTGCCTGATGTCAACAAAAATTATTATAATAACTATACAAACAATGAAAAAAGGGAATCGGTCGCCGGCAAATCGATCGATTCATAAACTGAACAAAAAGGGAGAAGCAAACAATACAACAGTGAAAGGCATGAATCCCATAGAGAGCATGCATTTTGACTCACAGTGACAAGATGAAGGCGAATGAAGAAAAAACTCAGAAGATGAATGTCTTTTTTTTGACCTTTGGGACCTTGTAAGCTGTCTTCCAGTTGATGCTTTTGCTGAATATTCTCTCACTTTTTTCTCATTGGAAATTAATTTGATTCTGGAGAAAAGTAAAAAAGGTTTCTTCTTTTTTGTGCGAGCCTAACCATTGTCTTTCTCCAAAGGATCAAACATTATTTCTTGATATCTTAGCTATTTTGAAAAATCTACTATGTTTCAGTTTTTTTCTCAGACTTTGTTATCCGAGAAAAAAAATCGATAATTCCAGAATTCCATTTATCCACGATTCCAGTATTCCAGGATTCCAGATGATTAAGCTTCAAAAATTAACAAATTCCAAGATTCGATGATTCGCAGATTCCCAGGTTCCAAGATTTCAATATTCCAAGATCCGAAAATTCTAAAACCGCAAGATTCCAAGATTCCAAGATTATACAATTTCATGATTCCAAAATTCCAAAATTCCAAAATTCCCAAAATTCTAAAATTCTAAAATATCAAAATTAAAAGATTCAAAAATTTCCCAATACCAATATTCAAAAATTCCAAGACTCTTAAATTTCAAGATTCGAACATTCCAAATTTCCGAGAATCCGAAAGTTTCGAGAATCGAAAATTCCAACATTCCGAAATTCCGAAATCCCGAAATTCTAAAATTCCAAAATTTCAAGATACCAAGATTCCGAAATTCCAAAATTCCAAAACTCTAAATTTCCAAAATATCAAAATTAAAAGATTCAAAAATTTCACAATACCAATATTCCAAAATTCCAAGACTTTTAAATTTCAAGATTCGAACATTCCAAATTTCCGAGAATCCCAAAGTTTCGAGAATCTAAAATTCCAACCTTCCGAAATTCCGAAATCCCGAAATTCTAAAATTCCAAAATTTCAATAATTCATGGATTCCAAGATTTCAACATTCAAAATTCCGAGAATCCAAAATTCCAAAATTTTACGAGTCCAATATTCCGAAATTACAAAAAATTTAATGATGCATGATTCCGAAATTCCAAAATTCCAAGATTCCAAGATTCCGAAATTCCAAAATTAGGAAATCCCAAGATTCCGAAATTCCAAGATTCCAAGATTCGAAAATTCAAATTCCATACATCACTTTTCAAATTGTATCACAGCTTTAAACAGTTGAACACTCATTTCTGCCTTCTTTTTTACCACAGATAACAAATCTCCGATTGAAGACAAAATATCTGCAAATCAAAAGACCTTCACAACACAGGTAGAAGTTCCGTTTTTCATCAGATTACTTTTAACTACTTTTCCGTTATCATCCATCTATTTACTACGAGAAAACCGAAAAACACTTCCTTTTTTCTGCCTTGTTCTCAGTTTCAATGTCGTTTCTCATCGATCCCTTCTTACTTTTTTATCACTTTTCCAAAACTGTTTTCGTCTCCTTCTCCTTCTCATAAATATCACTACTCTCTCCAATGCCGCATTTCGAGGTCAAACTGTCAGAAAAATGGCAGAACACAGAGGTAACAGACAAAAGCGGGCGGAGATAGCAGAAAGAAGCGAAATGGTTCCTGGTTTGAATTTTTCGGCATCCGCCTTACCGTACTACGTGCTATCAAGGTATTACACCTGTACAAGTATAAAAGGGATGGCATTGCAATGGTCAAATCACTTGACTACTCGGTCCAGTCTATTTAGTCATTGTGAGTTTTTTCTTCTCTTTTCTTTTTAAAATGATTTCAAAAGCCTTAAAGTTTTCAGATGTCTTCCGAGGATCCAAAACAAATCGCTTATGAGACTGAGTCTCTCCGCAAGGTTGCATTCTTCGGAATTGCAGTTTCCACCATTGCTACCTTGACCGCCATCGTTGCTGTCCCAATGCTCTACAACTACATGCAACACGTTCAATCTTCCCTTCAATCCGAGGTCGAATTCTGTGCCCACAGATCCAACGGACTCTGGGATGAGTACCAAAGAGTGAGTCAAAGTGCTAATACATACCCAATTAATTTCTCTTTTCAGTTCGAGGGAGTCGCTGGAGTTGCCGGAAGAATCAAGCGTGAATCTTACCACCGTGCCGTCGGAGGAGCCCGTAGAGCATCCAAGGTCCGCAGACAATCATACGGAGGAGACGCCGCTGTCGGAGGATTTGGAGGATCTGCCGGAGGATCGTGCTGCTCTTGCGGAGTCGGAGCTGCTGGACCAGCTGGAGCCCCAGGACAAGACGGAGCCCCAGGAAATGACGGAGCCCCAGGAGCCCCAGGAAACCCAGGACAAGATGCTTCCGAAGACTCTGTTGCCGGACCAGACAGCTTTTGCTTCGACTGCCCAGCCGGACCACCAGGACCAGCCGGAGCCCCAGGACAAAAGGGACCATCGGGAGCCCCAGGAGCCCCAGGACAATCCGGAGGAAACGCTCTCCCAGGACCACCAGGACCAGCCGGACCACCAGGACCAGCCGGACAACCAGGATCCAACGGAAACGCCGGAGCCCCAGGAGCTCCAGGACAAGTCGTCGATGTTCCAGGAACCCCAGGACCAGCTGGACCACCAGGACCACCAGGACCAGCCGGAGCCCCAGGACAACCAGGACAATCCGGATCCGCTCAACCAGGACAACCAGGACCACAAGGAGATGCTGGAGCTCCAGGAGCCCCAGGACAACCAGGACAAGCCGGAGCCCCAGGAACGATGGAGACAGCGGATCCGAAGGAGCTTGCGACCACTGCCCACCACCACGCACTGCCCCAGGATATTAAGAATATCCGATTTTTTAATGACATCTCTCATTCTTCAATTATCTTGCTTTATTTCTTCACAAAAATGATTGTGAACACTAGCCTTCATGTAGAATAAAACGCATTCAAAACCAATTTATAGTGTATTTACGTTTCTGAAAAAAACACATACGAATATTAAGAGTGAAACAGTTACAACAATTCTTTACATCGTCAAGAGTCTGTTGTTCTTCAAATTAGAGAGGCACTTTCAATCAAGGTCATATGAATCCAAGCAGTCTACCGACCTTTTTGCAGTACTTTTTTCTTTTGTTTTCAATAATCAGAAACCGGAAAAGGTCACTTTCTGAAAACATCATGACAAACGGAGATGGAAAAAAAAAGTATGAGTTTCAGCAAACAAGAGAAGGACATAATTAGGAAAAACTTTTTAGAACTGGAAACTGTATGAATACTTTATGAGAAAACTAGATGAATTGTCTGAGCTGGGTTTTTTGTTTCCTGAATATCACTCTGAAGGAACCGATATAATTTAGCTCGAACGTGAGAGTGTGGGAGCCCTTCTATTACAGGTTATACGGTAATAACAATTTTATGTAGCCAACTGTCTTTGATACGTCTCTCTCAATGTTTGTCATATGAATTCTCAAGGTGTTTCCCGTATCTTATCAAAACTGCAGTTTTCATTTTCCATTCCGACAAACAAGTAGTAACTTTCATTACCGCAA